AGATATTTTCCTTCCTTTGTTAAATTAATTCCCAAGTATTTCATTGATTTGGATGCTATTGGAAAGGTATGGCTTCCTCTAATTTCTACTTCAATGAGTTAATTGTTTGTGTATAGGAATATTATTTATTTTGAATTTTTGTATTCAGCAGTACTACTGAACTTAGTTATTAAACCTCACAGTTTTGGTAGAGTTTTGGAATCTTCTGCATAGAGTAACATGTCATCTGTGAATAATGATAATTTTACTTATTCCTTTTCTATCCTTATTTTATTTCATTCTATAATCTAATTGATCTAAATAGTGTTAATAGATTAATAGGAGTGGTGATACTGGGCATCCTCATTTTGTGCTTCACTTTAAAGTGAAAGCTTTCAGTTTTAGTCCAGTTAGTATGATGTTACCATTAGTTTGTCACAGATTACTTTTATCAGATTGAGATTATTACAATCTATTCCAATTTTCTGCAGTGTTTTTTTAATCATGAATGTGTGTTGGATTTTGTTAAAAGCTATGTCTTCATCTACTGAGATGATCATGTGATTTTTGTCTTTGACTCTCTTGATACGGTGTGTTACATTTACTGATTCGCATGTTTCACCATCCTTACATTCCTAAAATGAGCTACAGTTGGTCATGGTGTATAATTTCTTGATGATCTACTGCATTCTGTTTGCTAATATCTTCTTGAGGATTTTTACATCTATGTTTATTAAGGAGACTGTCCTATTGTTATCTTTTTAAAAGGTCTTTGGTTTTGCCATCAGGGTAAATCCTGTCAGCAGGAATAATTCAGGGAGTGTCACTTCCCTAACTCATTAAAGAATTTGAGGAGAATTGGCATTAAATCTTCTCTAAATTTCTTGTAGAAATCAGCAGTGAATCAATCCATCAACACCTGAGTTTATTTTGGTGGTAAGTTTTTAATTACATTTTAAATTTCATTGATTGATATTGATTATTCAGAATTCTTATAGGCTCTTGATTCAGGTTCTGCAATTTACAAATGGCCACTTTTTAGGTGTTGCACATCTTGTAAAAGTAAAAATTTTCAAAGTAAGTATTGATGATCTTCTGAATTTTTAGAGGTGTATTGATTCCACCCTTTTATTCCTCATTGCATGAGTTTGAGTCTTTTCTTTCCTCTTTTGATAAGGTTCACTAAGGGCTTATCAATTTTATTTGTTCTTCCAAAGAACTAACTCTTCAGTTCTTTACTTCTTTGTACTGTTTATTTAGTCTCAATTGAATTAACTTTTGTTCTGATCTTTATAATTTCCTCCCTTCTATGGACTTTGATTTTGTCTTGCTCTTCTTTATCTAGAAACTTTAGGTGCAATGTAGGTTGTATATCTGTGCTCAGTTGATATTCCTGATATGACAATTCACTGCTATAAATTTCAGTATTAGTACTTTCTTTGGGTCCCACAGTTTCTGATATGTTGTATCTATATTTTCATTTAATTTTAGATATTGTTTAAATTCCTCTTTAGTTTTTCTTGACCCACTGGCTGTTCAGATGTAGTTATTTAAATTCCATTTGTGTATGAAATTTTTGAGGTTTCTTTTGCCAGTAAACTCTAATTCCATTGAACTATAGTCAGATAATATGCATGGAATAATTTCTATTCTTTTTCATTTATTTAATCCTGTTCTATGGCTTAGTACACAGTCTATTTTACCAAACATCTCATGTGTACCAGAAAAAAACATGTATTCCGATATTGTTGCATAGAACATTCTATAAACATTTGCTAAGTCCATTTGTTCACAGGTTTTGTTCAGTTCTGATACTTCTTTGCTGATTTTTTGTTTGATTTGCCTATCATTTTGTGATAGTTGAGTATTGAGGTACCCCATTACAGTTGTTATTGATCATTTGACATTCCATGTCTATTAATAGTTGTCTTATATAGTTTGGTGCTCCCATATTTGGAGCACAGATATTTATGATTGTTTTCTCCTCTGATAAGTCTTCTATGCTCCTCTCTCACAGGCAAGTCTCTGTACTCTCAGGTCATTTGTTGCAGGGTAGTTGGGATATTGTGATATGGTCTGGTCCCCTGCTATTGCTGTTGTAGTCCAAGGTTCCTTGGTCGAGGTTTACCCCTCTCCTAAGGTGAAGTGCTAACTTCCCATTCATTGTTTTACATGTTGTGCTGCCACTGTCATCCCCCTTTGCTGTAATCTGTAAGTTCATCAGGTGAGATAGGGGATGCTGTGGCATGCCTTTCTGCTCTTGCCCCTGGAAGTGTGGGGACATCCCAGAGCAAAACAATCCTAAGGTAAGTGGGCTGTTTGGTTCTCTGTGCCTCTCTATCCACTGTCATAAGCAGGGCTTAATTGTTTCACTTACCACACATTCCAGTAGTCATTAATCTTGTTTCTGGCAGTTCCATTTAGCACGATGCATAAAAGGAATGGAAATAAAGTAAAATACAAAAGGAAAAGAAAACAAATAATAAAAACCAGTCAATCATCAAGGAAGGAGAAGTTTATGTTGGCAGAATTTACTGCTTCACTGCAGCCGCCTTGTGTTTGGAGCAAGGCAGAAGAGGCAGGGAGGGAACCTTATATCCCAAGTCCATCCTGTATGGCTTGACTTAGCCACACTGTTTTAGCACACTGCTTCTTTCCTCCCCATCCCCGTCCCTGTCCCTGTCTTTCTCCTCCTGCTCCTCCTCTTCCTGCTCCTCCTTTTCCTCCTCTTTTTCCTCCTCCTCCTTCTTCTCCTTCTACTCCTGCTCCTTCCAAGTATGGTGGGCAGTTGTTCCAATACAGTGACCCACCAGCTGCCAGGTGAGCCAGCTGACCATTCAATTAAATTCTTTATGTTTTGCTTGATGTATCAGTCTCATGTCAGATTGCTTTTTTTTTTTTTTGAGGGTGTATGTCTCCTTTCTTCCTTTCAATTTTCTATGTTTTAGTTGACTTTCTCTGAGTATGAATGAGGCTTCTCTTCTATTCAGCCATGTTGTCCCTCCACTGGGGTAAAAATTTTAATCAAAAAAGAAACCAATAAATTTTCTTAGGAAACATATCATTAATTTTTTATTAAGAATTCTCTTTCTTAATGAAGGTAAAACATTGTATGCATTGTTTAAGACCAAGGGTAATACAGAAATTCTTACTGTCAAAAATTTTTTCCACATTTTTGTAGCCAGTTATTAATGCAAGAAATATCTTCTGTACACAATACATGAAAATTCACATGCAAATGGCTGAATATTTTAAGTAAATAATATAAAAAAACTAAAAGCCTACACTGCATATAATTAGTTTCCCATTGTTACACTTTCCTGTCATTTTGTTTCATGTAAAACTTCTAAAAAATCTGCATTTTCACATTGACACCTATTCTCATTTGTTTATTTATTTATTTATTTGGAACTCAAACTCAGTACCTTGGGCTACGTAGGCAATGGCTAGACTGCTGAGCTTTGTCTCTGGCTCTTCTACTCACTTTTAATCATGCAAATAGCATAACACTTCTCTTTAGCCTGTCTTTTTAATGTTTTCTTTTATCAAAACACAACAGGAATATGCAACCTCAAATTGTAACTCTGTTATACACTCTCTATAAATTTTTATCATTTATCTAGTCACAAACTGACCTCTCAGTTAACATCTTTCTCCTCGATGTGTGCAAATTATGGGAACATTCTCAATCTTCTGCTATAAATAGATCAATAGGCAGAAAGACTATCTCATTTGTTCCTAAGATGAAACGGCATATTTTTTTTTCAGTTTATGTGAAAAGTGAAAATGCAAATCCACATATCACCTATTTCACTACTTAAAAGTCAAAATTATAGAAAGCTAGGAAACTATTAATAAGAAATCTATTCTCTCTTCACTAACACCAATACAATAATGAAATTAAGAACATGTGTATTACTATTTTAACTTACAACTGATACTTGAAACTCACCAAAAACAAAAGAATTAAATTGCTTTGTGAATCCAAGTGTTATGTAGATCATCTAATACTTTGTATGAATAGTAAAATTCAGGCTTGATAATTCATAAACCATATATTTATGAAATGAAACTTGCTTTTCTCTTAAACAAGTAAAATAAAAAAATTATTATAATATACTAAACTAAAAATAACATTTCATTGCTTTGAGTGTTGGCTTAGATCATTTTGTGAGTTTTCATGTTTTCAGAATTTTGCTCATTCACTTTTTTAACCTTGGAGATCTTGAGAGAGTGAAGCAGAGGGAAGAAACTTGACTCTTCACAGCGAATACTTCCTTCTTAGCTATTGGTTTTGAAATTAATGATGTAATTCAGTTTCTTTGGTAGCATTTGATGATTTTTTAAAAATTTGATGATCCCATTTATTCTTGGAGAAAAAATATGAGGATAAAGTGTGTGAGATATGACGAAGCAGGGGTATTGAAGACTGGTGCTGTGTGAATGAGTTCCTCTTCACTTTCAGTGTTGATCAAATAGAGCCTCAGTCTTCCAGAAAATGAGGGTTCCTTTGAGATAAGTTAGTGCTATCTTTGTATGGCCTATAAATCCTAGGTGGCAATGATGTTAGACAAAAAAGTTTCATTTAGCTGAGTATTTTATGAATCTTATTATTAAAATTTTTGTATCTCAGAACTCAAGCTGTTAGAAGCAAAATTTCTATAGCTGAGACAAGTGAAAGTACAAAGCAGTGAAAGAGAATCTATCTTTATTTGCATTTTACCAAATGTGAGTTTAGTTATGCTTCATAATCATCTATGAAACATTTCAACTGGTGGAGTGGTTATAATCACTTAGGTACGTTTTGGCATAGAAGCAGGAAAAGATAAAGATTTCACAGAACAGCTACTTTCCTACTGAAAAGCAAATATTGGAGACTTCTGACCTAGCATTAGATCAACAGTTAATGTACAAGACAAATAGGAGAAGGAAGGACTTGGCTGTGCATTCAAAGATGTTTGTGAGATTTTAGATCAGCAGGTAAACTGACCTGCTGACCTTGAGTTTTTCTCAGTTTGGACATGGAAAGTGACCTGCAAAGCTTCTTCACCTTTGTAATATTTGTGCAGATAATAATTGGAAATTTGAGCAATGAGTTTATACTACTGATAAATTTAATTGACTGGTTCAATAGAAGAAAGCTTTCCTCAGTGGATCAAATCATCACTATCTTGGCAGTTTCAAGAATTGGTCTCATCTGGGGAATATTAGTAAGTTGGTCTCAATTTATAAATTCATTTCCAAAGCTGAAACAACTTATAATTACTGTTTATATCTGGATATTGTCCAATCATTTCAGTCTCTGGCTTGCTACAATCCTCAGCATCTTTTATTTGCTCAAAATAGCCAGGTTTTCGAGACCTATTTTTCTCTATCTAAAGTGGAGAGTAAAAAAAGTGATTCTGACTATATTGTTTGGAATGTTGGTCTTCTTGTTTTTTAATGTGATGCAAATAAACACACACATCAAAAACTGGAAACACAATCATGAAAAAAATACAACTTGGAATTTCACAGTGACTGACTTTGTAACATTATCAAGGCACATCATACTCAGCATTACCATGTTCTCCCTCACACCATTTATTCTGGCCTTGATCTCTTTTCTTCTGCTTATTGTCTCCTTATGGAAACATCTCCGGAAGATGCAACTGAATTGCAAAGGATCCAGAGATCCCAGGACCAATGACCACATAAATGCCTTGAAAATTATGGTCTCTTTCCTGCTGCTCTACACTAGTTATTTTCTGTCCCGTATTGTGTCATGGATTTCTCACATATATCAAGTTAAACTGGTTGATCTACTTTCTATGGCTATTGGTCTCTTCTATCCTTCAACCCATTCACTAGTCCTCATACTGGGAAACTCCAAGTTAAGTAAGGCCTCTTTTTTTGTGCTGAGGAAGCTAAAGTGTAGGATCAAGAATGAGACAACTGCATAAGTCATCTAAACCATAACTTCTTCATGTTCTGGACAAAATAGAAGTTATCCATTTCAAAGATATTTTATTCTTTTCCTTTTTTTTCTCACATCGTGAAATTCATGTTTTACCTAAGAACGTCACACTTTTATTAATTCAAATTTATATTATTGAGAATTTCAAACTTATGAGTTCATTTCAGTGAGTAAATAATAAAATAAATGACTTGAATTAGCATATATATTAAAACAGTTTTGAAACAGTGGAATAAATATTTTAGAAAGGGTAATATGGCACAGTATATTTACTATTGTTATTCTCCTATGTTTTGTGAAATGTTTTATTTTACCATAAAATAAAACTGCATTAAAATAAATAAATAATATTGAAGTATAATTACAAGTACATATAATAAAATGCAGCCTGATTGTTGCATATTTTAGAGTTTTGATGATGTGTATAATTATGTGACCACAAAATTAATGTCCTTTACAATCCATTCTTCCCTTCATAATCCCTTGCACACATACAGATATTTACTTATTTTTGTTAACAACAAAGAGTTCTTTGATTTTTAGTATTTATGTGCATATGAAATATACATGGTTATGTGATATATGTATATATATATAAATATATATATATATGTATATATATATAAATATATATATATATATATATAAATATATATATATAGGCATATATAGAGTACTGTTAGATTTAAGGCTTCCTTGTCTCAACATTTTATTTTTGAGTTTTATGTATTTTTTGTCTAGAGTAGTAGTTTCTTCCTGAATGGCATTCTTAGTATTCCAGAATGCTACTGGATATATAGAATTTTAAAATCCTTTTAATTATTTATGAACATTTGAGTGGCTCCAAGTTATTGGCCATTATGAATCAGTATCCACATGTGTGTCTTTTACTGATTATATGATTTTATTTCTCTTGTAAATAAAATGTCAAATAATACAGCAAGTAGATTCCTAACTTTATTCAAAATTACCAAAGGATTCTTCAAAGTAGTTTCATCTTTTTATATTCCAACCAGCAATGCATGAGAGTTTTAAATGCCATACATTCTGTTCAACTGTTGGCATTTTTATTGGGTTTTTTTAAGCCACTATTGTCAGTGATTCCTGGTATCTCTTTGGGGTTTTAATTCATATTTTTGTGTCACTCAATGATATTAACCTTTTTTTTCATGTTCTTAAGCTTTCAGACAGTTTTTAATGACTGTTTCTATTATTTATTTTGGTTCACTGTATGTTCATGTTATTTTTGAGTTGTAATTATTTGGTATATAATTTAGATATTTGTCTTTTATCATATACATGTTTTATAAAGGGCCAGAAGCTTGATATCTCATTTTTTACGATGTCTTTCAAAGACAGATAATCTTTTATGGTTTGTATTTCAGTAAGTTTCAGGTGTTATGATTAAGAATAAGACCCGTTTTTATCTTTATATCTGTAATATAAAGTTAGGTCAGAGGTTCAGGTTTAAAATTCAAATATTCATTTATTTTCCAGCACCACTTCCTAAGAAAAATTATCTTTGCTTATTGTTTGAAGTTGGGACATTGTTGAGAACCAACTAATCCTATGGATGTGTCCTATTTTTATAACATGTATTATGTTCCCTTGATCTGCATATCTTTATATAAATAATATACTTTCTTGCCGAGTGCAGTTTAATACTGTATCTTGGGGAGGAGCAAAGATGGTGGATAGATAACAACTGGCTACAGAAGCTCCCCGAGATATTCAACTTACAATTCAACATAATACGGAGTGGAGAGCCCCAAACAGAGGAAGATGAATTCTCTGATCCCAAGAAGAAATTAAGGTGACTTGCTGACCATCTGAGGTCCCACTGCGACTGGCCAATGCCGTGTCTTGCCAGAGTCCCTCTGCAACTTGCTGAGGTCCTGCTGTGACTTGCAGAGGCCTGCCATGGCATGCTGGTCCTGTGGCAACTTGCTGGGATCCCACTGTGACTTGCCAAGCCATTCGAGATCCTGCCGTTTCGACTCACTGGAGGTGCAGTTACATTGAGTTTGAGGGTCAGTGAGCCAAACTGAGAACTGAGCTGGTGGGGAGCCTATATCAACCTGTGATGAGTGATGGGAGTGGAGCCATTCCATAAATAGGGGGGCTCTGGTGCACAACATTCTGGGACTGGGCAGGACTGGCAAGTACAATGGGCAGCAGTGACTTCAGTCAATTGTTCCCTTCCCGAACAGGATTGGTGGAGTGAAATAGGCCTGGGTCACGTGACCTGGCTGAGACCCAATAGGTAATCTGAGGTCAAGTCCCTGCAGCGGTGGTGCACACTACAAAAACTGGCCCTGTGGAGCCTTAGAGGTTTGGTTGCTCTGGAGGGGAGGTGGTGCAATGTAATACAGTAGTGCAGGCCACAGCAGCTTGACTGATCTGGAGGGGAAGGGCTGGCATATGCTGTCCATGTCTGCAACTCACTAGCACACTGCAGTGGGAAGGGTCATCAAGACAGTGTGCTTCAGAAGAATTGTAACCAACAAAGAAAGAAACTGGGGCCTCCGGGAAGAAGCAAAAAAGATGGAAAGAGGAAGCAACAACAAAAAGTCCCCAGGCTCCAACCCTGAGAACATTGACTGAAGACAGGTAAATACAAAGGAGAATGAGAACAGCAAATGTGCAATATCAGATACAGTGCCAGTGCACATAAAGAGATATATTTGGGACCTCATAGATGGGGTCAAAACTGAAATATTTAGCCAAATAAAGCAAGATATAAGAAGATTAATAAAAGAGATACTAAGCACTCCTCAAGCAGACACAGAGAGAAGAAGGGAGGAACTCAAACACAGGAGAGAACCATTTGTTGAAGAATATAAAAAAATATCGAATTAATGAAGCAGATTCAAACAGCACCAGGAAACTAAAAACTCTATGGAAAGATGTCAAATCAGCTTGAAAGAAACTAAGGATAGATTATCCAAACTGGAGAACAGTTTTGAAATGGGGGAGTATGAAAAGGAAAACTTTTTTAAAATAACAAGGAAACAAGCAGTAACAATACAAAGGTTAGAAGATGACAAAAGGATCTATAACTTGAGAATAAAGAATGTGAATGAAGAAGCTGGAATACAAACAAAGGAACTACAAAGGTTATTCACAGAAATAATTAAGGCAAACTTCCAAAAAATAGGAAAAGGAAATGATATTCTGATATATGAGGCATACAGAACTCCAGCTACCTACAACCAAAACAGAGCTACAGACAGGCATATAATAAACAAGATCCCAGAAATTCAATGTAAGACCAGAATATTAAAAGCTGTTAGAGATAAGAAACAGATAACCTACAGAAGAAGGCCCATCAGAATAATGGCAGGCTTCTCGACACAAACCATCAAGTCAAGAAGAGCCAGGAGCAAAATATTCCAAGCTCTGAAAGAAAATAACCTCCATCCCAGATTAATATACTCTGCTAAACTGTCTCTAGAAATTAATGGAGAAACAAGATGCTTCCAAGACAAAGAGGAACTTGGGAAATTCACAACCACCAATCCAACTCTACAGAGAATACTCCAGGGCATTCTAGAGAGAGAGAAATGTACTAGGACTCCAGGAACAGTGGCAGAGATGCCTCAATGAATGAAGCAGAAAACAAAATGAAGAAGATAAACAGACAACTGATGTCAAAAAAAAAGCATAACAGAAATGAGGCAGAGAAGATTTTTTTCAAAACTGGTATGATTGATAGTACCAAGTCTGAGAGTATAGGGAACTACACTGAAGATGACAACACTCAACAATACACATTCTGGTTTGATAACTGTTGGTTTTTGATGTTCTGTACTATATACAAAGTTGTGTTTTCATTAATACTGTTATGTACTGACATATTCAATTGTATTATGTCTGATGACATAACCAATTCTATTGGAGATAACAAGAGGAACCATGGTAGAACTCTTTGTACAACAGTCTTATATGTTTATTTCCTTTCATGTGTTTATAGGAATATGTTTTGTTTCTCCCTCTAATATAGAAAGGATAGAAATACATGTTAAGACTCATACATGAGTAGAATCTATAAACAGTTTATGAGAACTGATGATATGACACATGATGAAATGAACAGATACTTAGAAGAAAAAGAGACACTAAAATACCCAGTGCTGATCCTGGAGTATCATAATGTGAAACCCAGCATTACTATTATTCTTTGTTCAGAGTGATATTAGCCTGCTTGGGTTTATTCAATCTCAAATTGAAGAGATGGATAACTGCATGTATATTTAAGTGTATAGGACTGATAACCATATTTCTAAGTTTTTGTTGGATAGTTGAACAGAACTGGTTGCAGTCTCACTGTTTGAATCCCCACTTTATGTACTCCACTTTAGTATCTTGAATAACTATTTGTAAGAAGACAATCTGTAATCATCAGCTAGTGATTTCTTACTGTTTATTTTTTCTTTGAAATTGTGTATTATTTCTACATGTTTTCTGTTTTGTTTATTCTTTCTTTAAATTAAATTTTTTAAAAAATAGACACTAGAGTACCCAGTGCTTATCATGGAGTGTCATGATGTGAAATCCAGAAATATTATTATTCTTTGTTCAGAATGATTTTAACCTGCTTTAGTTTGTTTAAACATAAATGAAGATATGGATAACTGCATGTATTTTTAAGTGTATAGGACTGACAACCATGTAACTAAGTTTTTGTTGGACAGTTGAACAGAGCTGTTTGCAGGCTCACTATTTGAATTCCCACTTTACATGTTCCATTTTTGTATCTTGAACAACTATTTGTAAAACAACAAAATGTAAACATCAACTAGTGATTTCTTACTGTTTATTTTTTTCTCTGAACATATGTATTATTTCTACCCATTTTCTGTTTTGTTTAGTCTTTCTTTAAATAAAATTTTTAAAAATCCTATATCTTGAAACATAGTAGTAAGCCAAATGACTTCATTCTTTTGTTTTAGATATTTTAGTTTTCCTGATTCCTTGAGTTTTGAA